TCCTACCCCGGAAGCAGTCCGGGATGATTGGGTTGAGATCCCACGTGAATTGTTGGTCCACAACATTGATTTGAATTTGCATCTGGATATTGCATTCATCAATAACACATTCGGATTGACTACAATTTATGGTAGTGTCCGATACCGAACTTTTGTACCGCTCCGAAGCAGGACTGCGGAATTGTTGTATGACGCAATCGATCACGTGTTGCGCATTTACAACCATGCTGATTTTACAATCAAGACTATCTACTGTGATGGTGAATTTAGACCAGTTTTTGATGATGTTAAAGATGAGATGAATGTTGATATGAATTATGCGAGCCGGGGGGAACATGATCCCACGGCGGAACAAAACAACCAACATATCAAGGCGTTGTTCCGTGTCCAATACCATCGCATGCCGTATAAGGCCATTCCGAGGATTATTACTGAAGCTATTGCAAAACGAGTTGCACAGACTTCCAACTTTTACCCCGCCAAAGGGGGTATTTCGGCTTATTACGGTCCTCATATGATTTTGTTGCAGCGCCAACTTTATTATTCCAAGGAATTTGTTGCTGAACTTGGGTCGTATGTCCATGGCTTTGGACATGATACTCGCAGTGATCATTGGTCACGCACTATTGAAGCGATTTACTTGGGACCAGCTGATAATATGCAGAAGGGTCACAAGCTATATGATTTAAACACGAAAAGAGAGGTAACTAGACCTCGAATTACGGTGCTCCCAATCACTGATCAAGTGATCAAATTGGTTGAAGCCCATGCTGGTGAGGAAGGTGTTTCAGATTTACGAATCTATTCCAGGCGCAATGGAGAAGTAATTTTGGATGCTGATCTGCTCGCAGGAGTGGACCCAGATGAACTGTGGGACGAAGACTATGTACCTGCAGATATTGAAATTCCACCACCAGTCAATGACGTGAATTTGCGCAAGAATGATGCAATCACAGATGAAGAACTCGAAGAACTAATCAAGGATGCAGCTGAAGATATATTGGAATCTAGAAGAATTGATGGTAAGAGACAACATGACTATGATGAGACAGATAGAACTGTTGACCGCATGCTGCAAAGAATTAAGAGACGTCAAGAAGAAGACGATGAAGATGATATGGATTTCGTGCAGGATCAGCAACCTGAAAGCGATATATCATCCGTGCAGGATCAGCAACCTGAAAACGATATTGAAATGGATGTCGATGATGAAGAATTGAAAGATATGATTGATGAAGTAGCCCATGAGTTGGATAGATTGAGCCAACCTATTGAAGAAGAAATAATGTTCAGCGTTGAAGATGAAGACGATGACTATGAGGGTGAATATGATGCGGAAGAAATACAAGTATATCCTGACGAAGAAGATGATGTTTGTGCAGGAGTGAGGTTTGAAGAAGTCCCCGTGTTGAGTACAACAAATGATTCAAATAAAGACAAAAAAAGGAGAACACCAAGTGGACGATCATTTTATTCAAATGGAGTCAAGTATCGACCCACAGATAGGAATCGAACTGACAGACCAAGATATGGACAAACGTACTTACAACGAAAGAAGCCCAAGATCAATTTGTTAAAGAACAGGAGTGCCATGAGAAAGAAGGCACGGTTGAAGAGATTGCGTATCTCATTATACCAGGCTATCGCGTCAAAGGTAAAATCACGAAAGAAGGAAGAGTTTTGGGATGACGACGTGTTGAGCGCTGAAGCAAGAAGAAAGATTACTGAACGGGCGCATAATTTAATGTTCCAGCAGAGTGGAACTGAGAAGAAAGCGACTTACAATGTGGATGAGTCGTTGGTGATTTCAAGCGTCATGCAACAGATTCGTGACGAAGTGTACACAAGGGATAGGGTGTCATTTATTCAGCAGTATATCTTAACAAAGGATTGAAAATTTTCAAAGAACGAGGAAAAGAGGCTGCGCTCAAGGAACTTGATCAACTGATCAAACGCAGTTGCTGGACACCCATCAGTATTGGTGAATTGACTGAATCCAAGAAGAGGAAAGCAGTCGATGCAATGATGTTACTGGCAGAGAAAAACAGTGGTGATATCAAAGGTCGTTTTGTATATAAAGGAAATGAGACAAGAGACTGGCTGTCTTGAGAGGACACAGCTAGCCCGACCGCATCGCATGAAGGTATCTGTTGCACAGGAGTGATTGACGCGCACGAAGGTAGATGCATGATGTCAATGGACATTCCGAATGCATTCATTCAGACCTTGATGCCAGATTTAGGTGATGGAGAAGATCGGGTGATCATGAAGGTAACTGGACTGATGGTCCAATACATAATCGATTTGGACCCGACCTATCGCAATTATGTTGTTTATGAGAATGGCAAGAGAGTGATCTATGTTGTGATCCTTTGTGCCATATATGGGATGTTGCAGGCATCGTTGCTATGGTATCGAAATTTGAGAGCTTCTCTGGAGGAGTATGGCTTTGTTTTTAATCGATATGATCCCTGCATCGCCAACAGAATGGTTAATGGCAAACAATTGACAATCAGGTTCCATGTTGATGACGTTTTGGCGAGTCACATGGAACAGCAAGTACTTGAAGATTTTTTCACATGGGTGAATGAGAAATATGGTGGCTTAAAAGGGGTCACATGCACTAGAGGTAAAAATCATACTTATTTGGGTATGACATTGGATTTTTTGAAGAAAGGAAAAATGAAAATTTGCATGGATGATTATGTGGATCGCATGCTGAGTGAGTTTCCAGTCAAGTTTAAGGACAATGAGATCCAGGAGACACCAGCCGGAAATAATCTACTGGAGAAAGGTAAAGGAGCACCGCTTGAGAAGGAGCGACATGAAGTGTTCCATTCGTTTGTTGCCAAATCGTTATTTTTGTCGAAATGTGCTCGTCTGGACATCAGTCCGACAGTATCAATTTTAGCATCAAGGGTGCAATCTCCGAATCTGAGTGATTGGCACAAACTAGTTCGATTGATGAGATACATTCATTCTACAAAAGGATGGCATGTGACATTGAGCGCTGATGATTTGCGCGTGATTAAATGGTATGTTGATGCATCATTTGCTGTTCATCCAGACTTCAAGAGTCATACTGGAGCTGTGATGACAATTGGCACTGGAGCAGTGCAAGCAATTACACGAAAGCAGAAATTGAATTGTGACAGCAGTTTACATGCTGAACTAATTGGAGTCCATGATGCGATATCCAATATTTTGTGGACACGCTTATTTATGGAAGAACAAGGTTACCCAATCGAGAAGAATATACTATATCAAGATAAAAAGAGTTCGATCCTACTTGAAACAAATGGGAGATCAAGCGCAGGCAAAAGGAGCCGTGCGCTAAATATTTGGTATTTCTTTGTAACAGATCAAGTCGAGTTGGGCAACATTACTATTGAACACATGCCGACAGATGAAATGTGGGCAGATTATATGACGAAGCCGTTACAGGGCAAAACATTTTGCAGATTCCGGGCTGTAATTCAAGGTGACCAGGATTAGTCCTGATGAACGATCTTGGATATTTTATTTGTATTGAGAAGTAATTTTTTTGTTCCATCAACTGGAGTCGCTGGTGAAATGACAGGAGTGTGTTGGACGTATTGATATATTGAGCAATCATATTGGTCGATTATTGATCAATGGTCTACATGACGTGACGCGGCAGTGACGTGAGTGTCGATCGTGCGTAATATGAAACGCAGTATGTCAGAACGCGTCATCACGTAGAAAGGTGATCAAGAATGATAATTGTGAGAATTTGAATGATGATTTTGAACTGCAATCGAGAGTCTCACTATCGATTGAGTTCTGGCAAGAATAGTATTGTGGACGTTAAGGTCCAAGCAAGTATAGGAGATAATAAAGTAAGACCTTTGATTGAATAAGACTACTACTTATTCCAGAGGCTGAGGCCCAGAGTCGCTGGTGCCCAAAGGCAGACCATAGCCGACGTAGATTTGATCTCAGGGATTGCTCATTGAAACAGACAGGGCGTTGAGGCTCCCATTCAGGTCTGTAGAGCAAGTCCATCTGATAGACGAACTATCCTGTGGACCTACTAGTCATCGAGAGAAGCCATTATTGCCGGCCAACAAAGACACCGCGCAAGGAAGAATGGGAACTTTTGATTAGCGGAACACCACCTCTACAACGACCAAGGATTGTTATTGAATCCTGGCAAGCGGACGCGCAACTTTGGAAATTTGGACCTGTGAGCAAAGCCTCCTGGAAACGATGGGAAGATCTGGGTTATGGAACCCAAAGCAAGACAATTGACGCCACAACAGTTGGAGGCGCCATCAACCAAAGGAGACTTCTCGTCATTCGCATTGCTGCTGAACTTGGACCGCGCTGGACCTGGGATAGCCTGGACAGGGATCTGACGGTCATCCGACCAATGGGGAATCTTCTCACCCCTCCTGGGCTTGTCCCTTGGGACCGATTTTGACACCACGATTCGGGACACGCCCCGGATTCACAGAGGGATCCCATGCCCCCTCGAATTGGGGCTTTGATCAAGACGGAGAAAGGTATCCGCCGGCTCATGAAAGACGAGTTTGCAAGAGGATTGGAGATTCCAAAGACAGACGAAGAAGGGTTGACAGAACGATGCCTCCACCGGAGCACTTCAGTCCTTCATTGGGAGTATCTGTCACGTTCCCTACAAAACCTTTTCTCAAGTGCTACACAAGACCAAGACACGCCTTCTTTGCAACCCTCCCAACAGGACCCAACACTGCTTCCCATTCCAAGAACTCTCTTTGAATGGAAACCGGCCGACCTTTCACCGGGCGGAAAATGGTACCTCAAACGGGTGGCAAAGCTGGAGGTAGCGGCATCTCACTATCCTACACCAGAGGCAGTCATTGTGGATGGTTTGAACCGACTGAGAATCCATAGAGCCAACTACACCGCAGACGGGCCAGTGCCCAAATGGCTACAGCTTCTGTGGTGGGAGTTCCCGCAAGAACACTGGGAGGAGTTACGAATGGGAGCACGTCAAAACTTCGCAAAGGACCCCAGCCCTTGTATTCAACCCAACGCTCCGATGGATGCCACTATGGAAGAAGCGGCATCTGCCTTTGTGGACGAGCTTATGTCCTTAGGCGTGGTCCGAGACATCGATGAAGGTTGCCAGATTCTGACTAATGCACCATTGTTTGTGGTCCCCAAGGAAGGACAGGAAGGACAATGGCGGGTCATCGCGGACATGCTTTGTGGCGGCCAGAACGACTGCGTAGCTCAAGACCCGGTATACATGCCTCGAATCTCTCACATTATCGATGAGATGTACACTGGAGGGTATTCAGCGGTGGTGGACCTCTCGAAGTTCTTTTACAACTTTCCTACTCACGCTGAGGACCGTCCCTATTTGGGGCTACTTCATCCCAGAACGAAGGAACTGGTCACCTACTACGGTTTGGCAATGGGAGCGGAGCGGCCTTTGTACGGCTGCTTAAGGAACGGTTCGATGTCTTTCAAGGAACGGGACGTGCGAACTGTTATTGGACCGGCTTTTCGGAGATTGGATTCGACCCAAAGCTTGGGTACGGCTTTATATTAACTGACGACACAAGAGGATCCGTCCTCATTTGGGTCTGGGTCGATGACTTTCTGATTCACGGGCCCACCTACGAAAAAACAGCCCAAGCGTTGGGGTTCTTCCTGGACACTGTGGTGGACTGCGGGTTTCTCTTCCACCCCAAGAAATTGATAACCCCACGACAGGAAGTCAAATATTGCGGGTTTCTCTTTGACACACTCATTGGTGAGATTCGTCTTCTTGAGCTTGAATTGGACTGCATGCTCCAAGTGGTCCACGTTCCGGGACTTGTTCTCATTTCCCAAGGCACTGATGGGTTGAGCCGGGGTGTCTGGATGACACCCTTCATCCCAACATGTCAAGCTCCGAGCTCAACAAAGCCATCTTCGAACCCCTCCAATTTGACCGGACTCTGGTGTGGGAAGTCTTCCCAGAGCTTACGCACCCAACCTGTCCATGGTCCTATGTTGATTGGAATCAGCGATGGACTGCTTCCCTTTGCATGGGGAAGACTACTGTGTGGTTTCCGCCCCCTGAAATCGCACAACAACTCTTGTCATTTCTGTTGAACACCTGGATTGAGCAGTCCTCCACGACGTCCGCCATCCTTTTTGTTCCTCGACTCCTGGAGTCCAACTGGAGGAACCTTTCAAGATATATCCAAGAGAAGACAGTTCTCTCTACCCACACAAGAGAACCTTCCGCTACCCGCCAACCCTGCCCATCCCCATTGTGGTTCTTTATCTCGCACCTCACCAACCCTCCTTGTCTCTGTCTCCAAGGTTGGGACGCAACTCCCGGTCCCGCAGCGCCCAGATGGCACAGGGAACAAGCTGCACTTATGCGTGGGCTGTAAGCAGGGGTTTACTGCCAAAGAAGAACGGCTGGAATGCACCTTCTCAAGACGAGGCTTTCACAAGTTTCGCCCCTGCCTTTCAGTGTATCACAAGCGCTGCTTCCGTGCTGGAGCCCCATTTACCACTTGGAGGAAAGGCGGGGAGGGTTTGTTCCTTCCCAACTCCGTCACCTGGCCCAATTTTGTGTGCGAGGCATGTACCGTTCGTCAAGTCACACAACGTGAGCTGGCTGGACCATCAGACCAGCACCTCTTGATGCTGGAACGTATGCGGATGTTGGATACTATCTCTTACTGGGCGCGTGGGACCCATCAAACATACAGTTCCAAAATCAGAGCAATCCAACGCTTCCAATCGGACTACAACGTTCCCATTCTCAAGCCTACTACTCTCAGTGCGCCGCCAGGAAGCTCAGCGATCCCTCTGATGTGGTGCCAAGAACTGCACAGTGTCAAAATGTCCACTCGGAAATTTGATAGAGACGTGCAAGTTCCTCTCTCTTTCGAAACAATTCGACAGCTCCGATCGGCGACTTCTCAGTTCCATGCGTTGGACGCTCTCACTGCAAAACCAGACCAGGTCTCAGTTCCATGCGTTGGACGCTCTCACTGCAAAACCAGACCAGGCGTACCTGACAAGAGACAACAAACTTCTGTACCAAGACTGTCGTCCCACTGACAGTCTTCAGTACACTTTCATGGCCAAAGGAATCCTGTCCCGCTTAGGAGACGACCCCAAACCCTCCATGGCCCTTTTGGATCGACACGTCCGGTGTCTTGATTCTGAATTGGATGCCCTCTTTCGAGCGGCCACTAATCCTGTCGAAAAACGGGATATTGCTTTAGCCGGCCTTGCCAACCTCTCCCTCTGGCTGGGGTGACTCCGGTCCTCTGAATGCTTTGATCTCAATTGGGACGATGTTGAATGCTTGGAACCAGAGGACGGTGATAAGGAGGAACTCCCCACCGGGTGTGGCCTCCTCAGGCTCCGTCTGGCGCCAGAGACCAAATCGGACCGGAGCCGGCGAGCCAATGTCCTCGTCGCCTATCGGACTCTCTCTGGCTTGTGTATTGGGCTTTGGTACCATCACACCAAATCCCTTCGTACGTCTCTTCACGGCCCGGTCTTCTGCTCTACATTGGGTACGCGTTGGACATCGAAGTACTTCCGTGTCGCTTACCTGTACCCCTCCCTTCACCGCCAACGTGATGCTGGGGACAAACTTCTTACGCCATTTGATGGCGGTCTCGGTGGTTCCATTGAAAAGAAATTCTTGTCGCTCCATTGTTACCGTCGTGGAGGCCGGTCTCATGTTTCGAGAGGAGGAAATTTCGGGGCGTACCGCTTCTGAAAGGCCACGAAAGACCAAGTCTACGAGCATGCCCGCTGGCGCCGCAGCAGGACTTCCGAGGCTATTGATGTGATCTACCGGGAATGGCTTCCCTTTGATCGGGTCCAACTGACGTTCTACTGTCATTGACGATCCCAGGATATCGTCAACATCCATCCGCTCGTCGCGGGGGGGGGGGGGGGGGGGGGA